TAGATAACATTCATGTTTCCCCTTATTCACTTTCTTTCTCTGCTAAACATTCCTAAGTGCTGTACACGTGCTTCAAAAGGAAGCTGCTCCAGCCACTTTTGCCTTGCCCTTTTCTCTGCAGGTTTTCCAGTTCTACAGAGGATGCTTGCCAGAACTAGATGCCATTTTTAAAATTATGATTGCACCATAGATTTGCACATGTGTCTTCTGATACTGGTAGTTTTATTTTTGATCTTGCTTCTCATCGTCTAGTCGTTTAGTCATGTTCGACTCTTCGTGACACCATGGACCAGAGCCCGCCAGGCCCTTCTGTCTTCCACTGCCTCCCGGAGTTGGGTCAAATTCGTTCTGGTAGCTTCGATGACATTGTCCAACCATCTCATCCTCTGTCGTCCCCTTCTCCTCTTGCCCTCTCAGTTTCCTATCAAGGTCTTTTCCAAGGAGTCTTCTCTTCTCATGAGATGGCCAAAGTATTGGAGCCTCAGCTTCAGGATCTGTCCTTCCAATGAGCGCTCAGGGTTGATTTCCTTTAGAATTGATAGGTTTGTTCTCCTTCCAGACTCTCAAGAGCCTCCTCCAGAACCGCAATTCAAAAGCATCAATTCTTCGGCGGTCAGCTTTCTTTATGGTCCAGCTCTCACTTCCGTACATCACTACAGGGAAAACCCTAGCTTTGACTATGCGGACATTTGTTGGCAAGGTGATGTCTCTGCTTTTTAAGATGCTGTCAAGGTTTGTCATCGCTTTCCTCCCAAGAAGCAGGCGTCTTTTACTTTCGTGGCTGCTGTCTCCCTCTGCAGTGATCATGGAGCCCAAGAAAGTAAAATCTGTCACTGCCTCCATATCGTCCCCTTCTATTTTCCAGGAGGTGATGGGACCAGTGGCCATGATCTTAGTTTTTTTGATATTGAACTTCAGACCATTTTTTGCACCCTCCTCTTTCCCCCTCATTACAAGGTTCCTTAATTCCTCCTCACTTTCTGCTATCAGAGTGGTATCATCTGCGTATCGGAGGTTGTTGATATTTCTTCCGGCGATCTTAATTTTGGCTTTCGCATGATGTATTTTGCATATAAGTTGAATAAGCAGGGGGACAATAAACAACCTTGTAATACTCCTTTCCCAATTTTGAACCAGTCACTTGTTCCATATCCAGTTCTAACTGTTGCTTCCTGTCCCACGTATAGGTTTCTCAGGAGATAGATAAGGTGGTCAGGCACTCCCATTTCTTTAAGGACTTGACATAGTTTGCTGTGGTCCACACAGTCAAAGGCTTTTGCATAGCCAATGTAGCCACCCACTGACACAACTCTTGGGGTGATCAGACAAAGCTATAGCTTGCTATTTGATTTGCTTTCCATGCAATTTGGTTCACCCTATTTTCCATCCACCACATGTAATTTAATTAAGAGTGGTCCGTCGAGCTGTTCTGCTTCTTTTCTGGCACAGTGCTAGGGCTGTAGCTTATCTGGTGCAATTGGGAGTGCTCCTGATTATTTCACTCTGCAGTCTGTGTGGTGGTTTAATTTGCTCTCAAACAAAGCTGTGGCTGGCATTCTCTTTGATAACAACCCTGTGGTGTATGCAGTGGGTTTCGACAGTAGAAAGGACAGCAGGGAAATCCTCTCCTCTGTTTTCCTAGTCTCATGATTTTTTTTTACAAAAAATATGTTCCTAAGTGATGCATTGCTGTAGCACTATGTCACTCAATAAATTAAACAAAAGGGGGGGGGAGAGTTGCTGTCACCTGCAGAATGACAGCCACAACAAAAGGCAGGGAAATGGGTGGGGAGGGGTGTCAATACTTGCAATTGGAACATTCTGAAGTGCTGTCTGGATCTCTCTCTCATGGGAGAAGAAATGTCCCCTGTGTGAATGGAACGATCGCTCAAGTGCAAGATAAAGCAGATTGCACCAAATATGAGAGCCCTTTAAACACAACTGGGATCGCTCCAAATTTCCCCATCTAGTTATGCCCTCTGTCGTCAAGCTACCCACCACAACCACAAGTTGTCTTTCTTGATCACCCAGCACCACTCTGAGCAAACTTAGGATTCCACCAGCATAGATGTACATTTGGGACTCATTTGCCCCGTGTGCATCACTTTATGCTTGCTTACGCTGACCTGCTTTTGCCGTTTTAATGCCAGTTCCTATTTGAAAAGGCCCTTTGCAACCTTTTCTTCAATTTAACCACATTAAGTAATTATGGTGTAAACATGACCACCTCACTGATTACCCCAAAGTCTAGATCATTTGCAAATAAATTAAAAAGCACTAACAATTCCAGTATATTGGGTGTGGGGGTGGGGAGACTCCTCACATCCCTTGATTGCAAGATCAAGATAAGTCCTATAACTGGTTTCTTCTTCCCCTTCCATTTCCAATTTATATTCCCAGGACTGATAAGTTTGTTCAGGATTCTTTGGTGAGAGACTTTGGCTGAAAGCCTTTAGAAGTGCCATGTTGATTCATCTTCAGCACGACTTGTCCTTCTAGATGCTTGATATTTTCCATTTATCCAGAGTAGATATCAAACTTGCCAGTCTCTAATTTCCTTTATAAAAAAAAAACACTTCAGAATGTTCCAATTGCACGTATTGACACCCCTCCCCACCCATTTCCCTGCCTTTTGTTGTGGCTGTCATTCTGCAGGTGACAGCAACTCCCCCCCTTTTTTTGTTTAATTTATTGAGTGACATAGTGCTACAGCAATGCATCACTTAGGAACATATTTTTTTGTTAAAAAAAAATCATGCGAATAGGAAAATAGAGGAGAGGATTTCCTTGCTGTCCTTTCTACTGTCAAAACCCGCTCTTCAGTTCTCTACCACAAAGCCCATCATGGGAATATATTAAATTTTTTTTGTTAGGACAAGCAATTTCTTATTTGAATTCTTCAAGTACTCTCAGATGGGCATCTTCTGGTTCTGATGATTTGTTTGTTTTTAATCTGCCAGTAAGGTCTAGAAGGTGATGTCTTTTCATCACCACTATTTGGCTCTTGTCATCACTGTGTCTCAGTCCCTCCAACTCTTTTTGAAATTATAAGAGTAGGAAAATATATTTTTCCTATGTCCTTGTCAATGAAGACAGACAGAAAACATTCTGCTTCTCTCTAATATCTTTATGCTCCTTCACTACTCCTTTAATTCTGTTGTAATCTATCAGCTTTGCTAGTCAGGTTTCTGCTTCTGATATCAAGTATTTTGGAGTTTCCCTGGTACTTTTCCACTTATATATTAATTACTGTACTTCTGATAGTACTGTATTCTGGTCACTGTGTATCCCATGATGGCCAGAATGTTACTGGATATGCATGCATGGGCAAGAGCAATCACAAACATGGTCATGAGTAATTGATGACTTGCTCGTTTGTCACATGCTTCATTGTGCATCCAAAATGCATCTAGCATGCACAGGGCACCCTGTCAATTAGCCGTGGCAACTTCCAAATTGCCTCTTGCGTGCACATAGGCCAAAAGCTTGTTACATTGCAGTCCCATGCACATTCTGGACAGGCCAAAGATTCTGCCAGTATACCTCTCGAGAAGTCGTCCTTCTAAAGAAGGGGCCAGCCATGACCTTCTGCTGCCTGTGTCCTTGTTTGATAGCAGCTCTGTTCCTGTTGCAGGACCGGCGCATCCATTGTACAAAGTGAAGCGCCAGTTGCAGGCTAAGGGTGCCACTAGCAGTTGTTGTCCCCTGGCCATGGCTTCTGCTCTTGCCCTGCCCTTCCCTAGATAAGATCAATCTGCACTAGTTCTCTCTTGGAGATAAATGAAGCAAAAAGAGGATGAAGGATGCATAAGCTCATCAAGTATAGTGCACTTTAAAGCAAGTATTTCTTTCTGGGCAGCATACCAGTTCAGTTGCCATATTGGAGGGGGGGAAGCAAGTGGTGGAATATTGTATTCTGTCTATTGATGCTAAATAAAATGATCTTTTAAAACCATTTTCTGTACATTTAGGGGATTATATGCATCATGATTTGGAATGAAGGAGAATTTTCTCTTTTGGCTCAGGCTGCAGAGTATCTTTGCTAACCTTGGCTGCTACGTGAAACCAGTCAGGAAAGCACTTTGAGTCTCTTACATCATCATCATCATCATCATCATCATCATCATCATCATCATCATCATCATCATCATCATCATCATCATCATCATCATCATCATCATCATCATCATCATCATCTATTTATTTATTTATT